GACTGATCAGACTCTCTGCTTTAAAGAAGTGCCTACTAATGATGCTTCTCAAAAGCTGTTTTAAAAATTAAAAGGCAAATGAAAAATGAGAAATTGCTTGAGTCAAATGTGACAGGTGAGGGGTAATACAATCAAAATGTTAAATGCACTAGGAAATCCATAAGGAAAACATTACCCACCCTAATTAGTTTGCTGGGGCCACCATAACAAAGCCCCACAGTTGGGCGGCTTCAACAGCAGACATTTATTGTCTCACACTTTGGGAGTCAGATCCAGGTGTCACAGGACTAGCTCCTCCTGAGGCTTCTCCCCTCGGCTTACAGATAGCGTCTTCTCCCTGTTTGTCATTTGGTCCTCCCTGTCTGTGTGCCGGTCTCTTCCTGCTAGAAGTACACCAGTCAACTAAATTAGGGCCCATCCTAGTGAACTTAATCACTTCTACAGCCAAAGACAGTCACATTCAGAAGTGCAGGGGGCTCCCATTAAATTATGTCCCCTGTGAAATTCAACATGTGAATTAAAAGGGGGGCATAATTCAGTCCATAGAAAAATTATAGAATCAGAAATACAAACAACAAATAAATGTACTCCAAAAAAGTGCAAACACTGGTGAGAGCAAACGGAGGAGACACTACGCTTTACACCAGCTTTGCCAGGGCTGAAAAGAGTGGCAATGACCATTGTAGCTGAGCCCTCCTCAGTCCCACACCCTAGCTAGAGATAAACAGCCCTTGCCTTCCAGAGACAAAAAGCTAAGGGAAAGCCAGATACTGGGCCCCAGAGGCACCAGCCCCCGCGGCAGGAGCAGACAAATCTCCTAGGTAGGAAAGTGAGCCCTGGCTTTTCTGAAGTAAGCACTGTTTTTTTCCATCCTGCCGGTCCATTGGCCCCATGGCGAGCATGTTCCTGCATCCAGCTGCTTCAGACCCTATGTATAGACCAGACAGGGGCGACCTGAGTTCTTGGGCTATGGCTTGCTCACAGCCCCTAAGCCACTGTGCACCTGAGTCAGGACAGGACCCCTGGAGAGGCTAGGGAGTGCCGAGTGGACCCCAGCCTGCTGCCCTTACCTGAGCAATCCCAGAGCTTTTGGATACTTATCCAGTACCTGCCAACTGGGTGAGCAGCCCCACTGGTTGGAGGCCTGTACCAGGAATGGGTGGATAAGTGGGGATGTGGCAGCAGTGCTTGCCCTTATGAAGCCCCTCACATCTCTTGCCCATCAGTCCCATAATCCTTAGCTCCTTTCCTCCCTGCCCCTCTCTTTTTCAGCCAACAGGACTCCCTGCTTGGGCAGCAGAGACCCACGGTACCAGGGCTGGTCTGTGGGCAGCTCTCCGCCCAGCTTCCTGCTCCTGGGGACCCAGAGCTGGCTGCTGTTCGCCTTCCAGGGTCCTCTTCTAAGCCACTGACCCACCTTTTGCCCTTTGGGGAGCCTTTCTTCCCTTAGATGCCATGAAGAGGGGATGGAAGAGGGAAAGGTACCCTTCTAACACAGACCTGCAGGGTCACAGAGCCTTTGCATATGCAGCGTACGTCTCTAACCTCCTCATTTTAAATTTCCAGCTCTGTCACCCTTCCCCACAGTATTTTTTCATCTCCTTCAAGCCTGTATCTTTAGGAGCATCTGACCTATCCCACTTGTTTTTTTGGGTCTGTCTCCCTCTGGGAACATGTGCTCCATGGATATAGGGAGCTGTGCATTGCTGGCTTCAACCCCTCCTTACAAAGCAGCCAGCTCCTAGGTGATCCCGAGATGAGCTAAAGACTTGGGGCCACATCAGCACACACACAGGTATACACGGCAGCTCTGTTCACCACTGCCTGCCTGGTGCTTTGCCCTGCCCAGGGCTCTGACCTGAGGTCCAGGAAGAGCTCAGAAACAAAGTTTCCCCCAACCCCCTCCTATTCTTCTATCTCCTACCCCTTTTCCTCTCCCACAACAGGCCATGGAGACCAGAGTTTCCCTTTCAAGGTAGGTCACAGAAACTAAAGCCTCTCCCCTCCAAAGCCAACCATAAAAGCATGAAATGTTATTCTAACTTCTCTTAGCCTTTCTGTATAGGAGCTGGTCATAAAGAATGTAGGTCACAAGACTTTCATTCTGGAAAAGGTGCGGCCCTATACCTGGGAAGAAAGCTGGACATGCAGGGACCAAGAAGAATCTGCACAGACAGGCCTTGAGGGGTCCTTGTCAGTCCATTACCATCAGGTTACACCCTCTGTCCAGTCACATATCCACTTGGCTGTCCACGCTTCACCAAACCTAAGCATAAGAGTGGACACTTCTTCCCGAGACTTTGGATCTTGGTTTCTGAAGTCTCCCTGGACAAGTAAAACACTGATGACCTAACTCTGTCATGCTTTTCTCTCGTTAGCCTGTCTTTTGTTACAGTGGGAGGGAAGAGGTCACATTTTTCTGCCCCTACATGCCAAAATTTGGAAGGAACAAAGAGGTCTTTCAGTAGATGAATGGGTAAACCGAGGTACACCCAGACAAAGGAATATTATTCAGCCCTAAAAGGAAGTGCACTGAAGAGCCATGAAAACACAGAGGAAGCGGAAATGCATATACTAGCTGAAAGAAGCCAGGCTGTAGGAATCCAAGGAATGACATTCTATAAAAGGCAAAGGGGCAAACAGTGGAGACAGTGAAAGGTCCCTGGCTGCCAAGGCCTGAGGGAGAGGGGGGATGAAAGGGTGGCTCAAAGGGGGTCTTCGGGCAGTGACACTGTTCTGTAAGACATCCTGAATGGTGCACAAGGACACTACGCAAGGGCAAACCCTCCTATAAATGCTGGTCTTCAATTAGTAGTAGTATATCAATACTATTTTATAAATTGTAACGTACTAGAACACGTTAATCCAAGATGTCAGTACTATGGAGAAACCAGGAGTATGGGGTGGTCTAGGGGAACTCTATTTTCTGTGCAATTTTTCTGCCAACCTAAAATTACTCCTTTAAAACTCTACTTTTTAAAAAGCAAAAAAACAAATGAACAACAACAACAACAAAAACTCAGTTGTTGAGCTGAACCTCACATGTAACTGGGCATACTGTATTTTATCTGGCAACCTCAGCCCCTGGCCTCAGGAAAGGGGCAAGCAAAGAATAATGGGATTTGTGTGTTGTAACAGATGGGAAGGAGGGAGAGAGCATCTCAGAGATGCTACATACCCTGGGGGTGAGGCTTGGGCTCTGAGTTCAGAAATTCCAAGCCTTGCACGGAGGATCCGGTTGGCAGGTGGTAGGTAAGTGGACAAGCAACACTGAGTGTCCAGGAGGGTTTGGCCAAGGATTCCCCTGGCGTCCTCCTTGGCCATTCAATTTCCAGCCACGTCTCTGAGGGCACCATACCTGTGGGTTAGACACAGGTCATACCTGTGGGTTACACAGCATGGCTACCAACAAAATCAGTGTTTTAGGAGAAGAAAATGTAAGGCTCCTGATTCCTGGTTCTGGAACCCCCACTCCCCAGCTCCACCCCTGCCCAGGCCACCTGCTACTGGGCAAATACCTGTCTAGCCAGCATCAAGCCCCTTCCCCTCCACCTGGACCTTGCTAAAAGTGGTTGAATGCCCTGCACCCCACACAGTGCCTGGAAACTTGTTGGATTTTTTGAGACAGGGTCTCTCTATGTAGGCCAGGCTGGCCTTGAACTCACTATGTAGCCTATGCTGGCCTCAAACTCAAAGTGATCCTCCTGTCTCAACCTCCCAAGTGCTGGGAGTATGTCACCAAGCCCAACTTGCCATTTTCATCAGCGAATAGGACAAGACAGGGCTCTAGACTCTCCCCTAGAACCAATGCCTCTCATCCAAGCCAGCTCCTGACTTCCCCCTTGCCCAGCACTGTCCTTATCTGAAGGCCTGGTTTCCCCACCCCAAGGGCAGCCTGAACCCTTTCATCCGTCCTGGGGTCCCCCACCACCCCAGCTTGACATCCCCACCCATGTCATCCCTGCTCCAAAGTACATCGGACGTACACAGCAAAATCAGCCAGCCTGGCAGGGGAGACAGGCAGCTAAAGGGACTGAGAAATGGGGAAATTCAGGGAGCTAGGAGCCTGGGGACATGCAGGAGGGAGCCTGCCACCCTCTCCTGAAAGGGAGGGTCCTGGTCTGTGGCAGAAATCCGGGAGATGGAGCCGAGGGCAAGGAGGTCCCCTGAGCTAGGGCTGTCTTGGCCTGGAGAGGGTGGGCCGACAGCGAGCCCCGGAGAAGCCAGGGGCCTCTCGGAGTAGGAGGTGTGGTGTGGTGGTGGAGGGGGCAGGAGATGGGAGTGAGTCGAACGGTGGTGAGCTGGCCAGCGGGAACTTCGAGGGGAAAGGGGCCTGGGAGTGCGAGCAGAGGGGGAAGCAGCCCGGCCAGGTGGAGAGAAGGAGTCTAGGACCCCAGATCCCGGCCCAGCCCATTCATTATCCCCCCCCCCCTTACCCCCCATTGCCAGGCAGCTTGAAGGTGGCAGCACTGACCAGGCTGTGACCTTGAATTGTTGAGAAAGAGAAGGGGAGAGACCCGGCCTGCACCGCTGAGTGGCGAGGTGGGGGTGAGGATGGGGGAGGGGGATGGCAGGGAGCAGGACGCACAGCAAGAGTGGGAAAGTGCAGGCGCGGGCGTGAGGGGTCTAGGGGATTGCGCGGCTCCTGGAGTTCGCGATGCGTGGGCGGAGTATTCGAGGCAGAGAGTGCAGAGTGAGGGTGTGGGGGGAAGGGGGTGAGGGTGGGGATGGGGCCGGGCCAACTTGGCCTTGGTGGGCCTGGTGGGAGAAAGCGCGGTGCAGTGGTAGGGGGAGGGGAGAACAGGACCACAGTGCGAGGGTTTGCGGGGTGTGCGGGAAGGTGCGGACTGGAGCTGATCCAAGGGGACGCTGTGTCTGTTGCAGCGCTGAGGAGAGCGGGCGGTGGAGCGAGGCACGAGTTGGGGGTGGGGCGGCGAGGTGCCTGGAGGGTGCGGGATGAGGTGCGTGGGGCGGTGTCCGGGGCGCGGGACGGTGCGACCTCCGGAAGCGAGGGGGCGCTGTGCCAACGCGGGCACAGTGCGGGGCTGGCGCCGCTCCTTCCTGCAGCCCGAGGCGCGACCGCCATGGCGCGGAACGTGCTGTGAGTAGTGTCGCTGCAGGGCCCCTTGCAGGCCCCCAGCAGAAACACTGGGGCTGAGTCCAGGGGGCGGGAAGAGGTGGAGGGAGGCTCCCAGCGGCCGAGGGGCAGGTCGTGTAAACTGAGGTCCTCGCCATCGCGGGGCCTTGGTCTCGCGGCTGGGTTCGGGGAGGGTCAGGTGATAGCCTGAGCTGGATCCGAGCTGGGGAGGTACTGACAGGACCCCCAGGTGTTTAGGAGCACCGTGCGCCGATCCCCAGGTGGCCTACGTGTCCGCATCTTCCCATAGTCCAAGTAGGAAGCACACCCCTTCGGCGAACACAAGACAACCCATGAATTATGGGGAGCAGTAATGAATATTTGGAGCCTACCCGGTAGACAGCACTCAGGGGCCCCTCCACACATGGTTAGGGAGATGGCGGGGGTGAGGCGTTGAGGTTCTCGGGGTGAGTTCTTTCTGCAGACTGTGGGATCAGGACCCAAGGGCCCTTGCCCTGGGGAAACTGAGGCTGTGCGCTGAGGTAGGGAAGAAAAGCAGGCAAAGCCTGGTTCACCCCGAGACCCCTGCAGGGAGCTGGCCCACTGGCTTAAGTGGAATGCTGTAGGAGGCGGTGAAGCCAGTGGCCTTGAGCCAGGACCTGCGTTGTTAAAAGCACTGAAGAGCTCCACTTGAGATGCATTAAGTTTGAGGTGCTTGTGAAATGTGGGGACTGTCAGGGAAGCTCTCTGTGTGAGGCCGAGGGAGGGTCTATTGAAAGTGTCAGAACCGAGGAGGAGGGCTGGGACAGAGTGGTCTTTCCAGAGGTGGAGGCCCCAGGACAACTCTTGGGATGGGGCATGGTGGGCAGCATGGGAAGACAGGTCTGAGAGAACATGGGCTTGTGAGACTGAACCCATGTGGCCTTGGGGACCCTCATCTCAGGCCTACGTTGGGCCCTGCTCACTAGATAGCCTCTACCCTTCCAGACCCCCAGTGCAGCACCACCTCAAGGCTTGGAGTCTGGGGCTTTGGTGAGCCATTGTACCTCCTTTTCCACCGCTAAAGAGTAGGTCCCCAACTTTGTCTGCCATATGCAGTGTCACAGTTGGACAGAATATGTGGGCCGCTTGGGCAGCCACAGTTGGCCTGGACCTGTGGGTATGTTGAGGGAGGCCTGTCCTTCCTTGAGTACCTCTCCCAGTGCCCCTTTTGTAGGGGCTTGACTAGGTGTCTGCAGCTTTCTTCTCCACCGTGGAGACTCAGCCAACTGGCTCTGCCACAACACGTTGACTTGGTCACCAGGTAGATGCAGTTTGCCATTGAGTTAGGCACACCTTTATGCTGCAAGTGCTTGTGTCAAAGTCCCCAGCAACTTGGTCCCACCAGGCTGTCCATCTAACCTCTGGGGCACTGGGTCTCACCCCTGGTGTCCTGGCTTTGGCCCTCAGCAACTCCTGTCTGGCTCCTTGGTGCTCCCCAGACTCAGGTGGTTCAGGCCAGCTTGCACTCCCCTAAAGCTACGCCAGCATCAGCTTGTGAGTGCCTCCAGCATGGTGCTGGATAAACCCTAAATAAAGACCCAGACTGGTCATAAGGCTACAAGTGAGACCCTGGGCAGCCCTCTGCACTCACCCCTCATGGACTCCAATGATCTTATACCCTCTCAGACTCTATAGACCTCGAACTTCTGGGTGCTGAATGGGGATACCATCTCCTAGTCCCAAGGCCTAACAGCCAGATGGTCTAGGGAGGCACATGAGACCACTGAGATGGAGGTTTTGCTTAATTTGTCACCTGGAGCACAAGCCTAATGACTGGGAGGCAGTTGGCCCCCAAACTCCTTAGTGCTTGTCCTCTAAGGGCTTAGGTGTGGAGAAGGTGTTGCAGCCAACTTGTGGTGTGTGAGCTGAAGCAGTTTGTTGAAAGTGCCCTCCTCTGCAACCCCAAGCCTTTAGTCTGCCTCCTGGAGGGGCAAGGCTCCTTCTGGTCACAGAGAGTGTGGCGGGGCCCTTCTGGCCCTGCAGCTGCACCCCTTCTGAGTAGCACAGGTGGCCACCCTCAGGTATGTTGTCCTATAGGGAATTAGCATCTCCAGTTCGAATCCTATCATTACCCTGTTTGTGGGGGACACTCTTGGCTTCTTGTTTGTTTTGCAGTGCTAGGGATCAAATTCAGGGCTTCATGCATGGTAAACACTATGCCAGTGAGCTATACCCCTAGCCCTAAATATCAGCTTCTGTTGCTTTATGTCTTTTCTGTTCATTCTTTGGCCCTACTGTAGGTCATGGGGGCCACCAGGCACATTCTCCCAAGTCGATGGTTAGGGGATGAAAATGTTGGCTGCCACACTAGGCAGATCGAGTTGGGAATGAGCTGTAGGACCTCCATGCCTTGGAGTAGTGACCTGTGTATAGCTTTGTTCTGTCTACTCTGGCCCTGCTGATGGGAGTGGTGTGGGTGACTGATAGAGTCTGGGGCTCAGTCCCTGTCACCCTAATCCTAATTGTCAGGAGAGGACAGTTCTGGGAAGCCAGTGGCCGACACTGTTGTTTACCTCGGAGTCTGCTCTGTTGATATATAACACGAACCAAATCTCTCCTGAGCAGGTACCCCTTGTACCAGCTGGGTGGGCCCCAGCTCCGCATATTTCGAACCAACTTCTTCATTCAGCTGGTGCGGCCTGGCGTGGCCCAGCCTGAAGATACCGTGCAGTTCCGGATCCCTATGGAGTAAGCCTCCAAAGAATCTGGGTTGAGAACAATTTGGGGGGTGCTGTGTGTCAGGCTCTTCTTGCCTGGGGAGACATGGGGTGGCTTTGCTTAGTGAGCTGTAGTGGAGGCCTGTGTTTGCAGAGCCAAGGGGAGCAAGGGAAGGGAAGCGAGCATGCTCTGGCAGCCTTCCCGCTGGCCTCCACCTGGGAGGCTTAACTGAGAGCCTGAGATGTGGGCTCACTTCCTTGCTCTGGTCTTTGTTGAATTCTTGCCTTAGTCCTCTTCCCAGGAAAGGCATCCCAGGAGGCTGGGTTGGGAGCATGCTGTGATTCGCAGAACTGCTCATCTTGGCTTTCATAGTGCTTTGCCTCGCTCAGCTGGCTGGGTTTGATGGCCGCTTCACCTTTAGGGAAATGCACAGCCTCCCAGCTAGAACTGTTGCCCAGGACTGGGTCAGCCTGGTGAGGTGGCAGCACGTGTTTCTGTGGATGCTGAGGGTCAGTTCTGTCCAGCTTCCAGACAAAGACAGAAGGGGCCTTAAAGCTGAGCTCACAGTGACTGGCAAGATCCAGCTAAAAGGATGTAGCAAGTACCCAGCTGCAGACAGGACCTGCAAGCTCAGGACACCCTGGGAGCCCGGCAGCTCTCTAAGGCAGTCACATCCCCTGTGTAAGCCCAGCTGGGCCCTGGAGGTTGAGGACTAGTGGGGAGGGAGTGGCATGAACCAAGCTGATAGAGCTATGTTCTGAGTGCTTGGAACTCTGTCCCTGTCACCTTAATCCTGATTATCTGAAGAGGCCAGCCCTGGGAGGCCAGAGGCCAGCATGCTGGTGTCTTTTTGGCCCAGCCTGACCTCAGCCTGATGTAGCCTAGGAGCCCTCACCCTGTGCCCTGTTCAGACTGCTTTTTCTTTCTCATTCATCCAGGATGACCAGGGTGGACCTCAAGAATTATCTCGAACGCATTTACAATGTGCCTGTGGCTGCTGTGCGCACGCGGGTGCAGCATGGTGAGTGATTGCACTCTCCTGTCTACGTGCACCCTTAGTGCTTCTGCAGCACCAGGTCACAGCCCAGTGTCAGTTGATGTAATCTTCTGACTTGGCACAGGAAGAAACTGAGGCAGGAGGAGGTGGGGTGACTTGCTAGCATCACACAATGCTCTGTTGGTAGATCTGATGCTGTGGTTGGCCCTTAGTGCTGCCCCCAGTCCAGCTCCCAAGAGGATCCTGCTGCAGTCCTCAGCAGCACGCTGTTTCCTGGAACCCCCACTTCACTGCTTGGGTGGTTCCTCTAGGTGCTCATATTTTCCCTCCCATGGTAGGAGCCTGCGAGAGCCGACCTCCAGCCAGAAGTAGCAAATCCAGCACATCTGCTTAATTTTAGTGCCCTCTCTGAGAAAGTACCTGTCAAATGCATTTACATTTTCAACAGAGACCAAAGTGTTAAATTCCTTTGATTGTTTTAAAATCTTTTACTTGTGTTTTATTTAAACAGACCCATTTTAGTGGCACTGACTGGTAGGTCTGAGCTGCTTCTGATGTTTGGCATGCTGTCATTTGGGGCACACTGTGCCTCCTGTCTGGAAGATAGTTCTTGCACTTGTGGGGTGGGATCTATGCTAGGACCTGAAAGTAAATGTCTGCTTCTTCCCCGCAGGCTCCAACAGCAAGAGGGACTATAGAAATGTGAGGATCAAGAAGCCAGATTACAAGGTGGCCTATGTGCAGCTGGTGAGTGAGCCCCATGCAGCCTGGCCTCCCACTGTCAGCTGTGGCCTTGGAGCTGTTAGTAGCCATCATGCCAGGCCTAAGGCCTTGTGAAGGAGGGCAGAGCCCAGGGCACATCTGGAACAGACCAGGCCCCACATGTCTCCATATGGACAGTGGATAAGGAGCAATGCTATTCTGAGCACTTCTCAGATCCGTGTAAAAGGCAGACCCACTGCAGGAGTAATGGGCATCAGAAGTCACCTGCCTCTTGAGAGGGTGAATGCCCCTGAGGATACACCACTTCCCCTAGGAGCCTGGGTGCTAGAGATAGTGTGGGGTGGCCTGGGGTCTGGTCCCCTGGCAGCACAGCCTTGCGATACCCCCACCCTTAGGTCCTATCCATCTCTAACAGTCTGGCTTCCATGAGTACGTGGTGTTGGTGCCTAAGCTATGTCATCAAGTGTCCTGCCCAGGGGCCTCCAAGAAGGCACCCCCACCACGTGTTTACTGAGGCACAGATCTAGGAGGAAGGAGCTCATGTGTTCAGACAGGGTTTCTCTCCTCCCTGAGAGTGCTCAGGACCAGGACAGGCAGTAGCCACGCCTGGTGGTCCTCAGTCTCCAGGCAGAATCCCCTCTGACCTCAGCAGCTGACCTTGGACTGAAGGGCCTCTGTGGGAATCCTGCAGGGCCTGTTAACCAGCCCCCCACTGCTTAAAACTGGCGGAAGGAGGGGGGCTTCCTTCAGTTTCTTCAGTTTTGTGTAAACAGCCCACTAGGGAGCCCGTGGCCTTGACCACTAGATGGCAGTAATGCTCCTCCCATTGGGACTTAGCGGGACCCAGGCCCAAGTTGGAAGTTAGTTTTCCTCAAAGAGGGAGTAAGACAGCTTTCCTGAAGAACAGCCACATTTGTTCTAAACAGGGTCCTGTAATCATTTGGCCTAATATTTGCTGTGTGTAAAACCAGGAAATCCAGGTGGAGAGAGCAGCCGCCGGCCTGATAAAGACCTGTGCGTGCTGGGTGTTGAATCGGCCCATCTGTCTGTCATGGCTGCGGGGTGATGTCCCATATGCTGGCATTCGCCACGAGTCACTTTGGAGACAGCTATGGTTACAAGTGACTTTTGAGTCATCCGAGCCCCATTTCTCCCCCAGCCCCACCTCACTCTGAAAGCTGAACTCTCGGCAATGCTTAGATCCATGTCTGCAGCTGCCGCCCGCCGTCTTTCTTTCTCTGAAATCCAGGCTGCCGGAGACAGGAAGGGCAGCTGTGGCCAGCATGTCCCCGTCGGCATGGCTCCTCCTGTCCCAGAATTAAAATTTGTAACGGCACCCCCCCAGTCTTTACACAGTCTAGAAACTGGGTAATGGGTTTCTACCCCCTCAAAGGACCTCAGGACCCTCAGAGGCCCCTCTGTCTGCATCTGCCGCCAAGGCCCTCCTTTTGGCCCCATGGGGTGGGGGGGTGGGTGCTTCTAATAACAACCCATTGTGCGGCACACGCAAGGTCAGCCAGAGACACAAATTAAATGATGGGATTTATTGTGAGTTGGCGGCAGTGGAAAGGCGAGGCCCACATGGTGGGGGTCCCACGTTTTTCCTCTGACAACCTGATAAACATCTCTGGCCCCAGGTCCGAGAGGGAGTAGGAGCAAGCCCTCAGTTACCCACAGAACAAAAAGAGCATTGACCGTGTGTACACAGAGCTGCGTTTGAGTGAGTGGCGCACACGGGCCATGAGCTCACAGCTCCAGAACAAATGCTCGGGCAGCAAGGGGCAAGCAAGTCCTGGCCCCGACAGTGGCCAGGAGCTCCAGGATTACTGGTGGGGGGCTGGCTTTTTCTCATTGTGACCTTTTTCTCCCCTGCCCTTTGCCACTGATAACTCCTTCTCCTCTTTGGAAGGTGAAAGGATTCTGTTCTTTAAAGTCCAGATTTCTCTAAACAAGGAAAATCCCCCAGGGAGCCATCTGGCACCCACAGATACCTCTGGTCTCCTGGGGAAGCAGGGCATTTCCCTAACAGCTGCCTCTGTTGCTTCCCAAGCTGATGTACGTGGCCATCTTTGTGTCTGTGTTTTTAAATGTCACTTTGAGTTTCCCCTGCTTCAAAAACCAGCAGAGTCACCTCAAGATATCAAACACAAATCCCCCTTCTGGGCAGGCAGCCCTGCATGTAAACTATTGCCCTTCAGTACTTTTCAAAAGGAAAAAAGAAGCCTTAAGATGTGTAAGATAATCTCTGGCAGGCTGGCTACTGGCCTTTTATCTGGCCCCAGAACCCTGCTCTGTGACCAGAACTTATAAACTTTGCATTCTCAGGGTGGGATCTGGTACTTAAGTCCTGTTTCAGATCAAGCTTGGCTCCCTACTGAAGTCCACATTTCCTTAGGAAGAAGTGGGGGTCTCCCAGAGCCCAAGTGTACCCCCACTGACTTTGCTTATTTAAGTGCTGCAGATTCAATGTGGTCTTTAGCACCCCTTTAACTGTCTGGTAGCAGGATGGCCATGTGAAGGCCTCCCGCCAGCTCTCCTGCCTCTGGCCCCTTATCTTGGAGTTACTTAGTGTAGTCAGCAAAGTAGGGCAGCCCCTCGTATCTGCTTAGGCCCCACAGCACAGTCCCCCCCAAGCCTGACCCACGCGCTTGGGGACCTGGGCTGGGACTTGGCCATGCTGAAACATTCCGAACTTCTACTGAAAGACGTAAAACCAGTTAATTTGCAAAGCCGGACTTGATTTATAGACTGCTGCATATGTAGGTTTCTGTGTGCGTTACATGTGTTTTATTTGCCAAGCTCCGAGCCTGGAGGAAGGCTGGCCTTTAATGTGGGTGAAGGCCTTTAGGTATTTTGGATGGAAAAAGCTTTAGCGTGGCACCAGACGTCACTTATGTCCTGTTTTTCTATGCCTAGTTCCTGCCCCTCAATTCAACTAGGCTGCCGCCCTGGTGAATGGGCCTTTGCTGGGCTACTTTTAATGAGCTGGGGGCTGGTGAGACACCACTGTAAAAAGATAATGTCCATGAAAAGAAGCATTGTCTCAGGGTAATGGCTTCCCGCTGCTAGATAAGAGCGGAGGCCTTACAGCACAGAGATGTTTATTTTCCCGACAGGGCCCTGCACCGTAGACAATGGCAGCTCATCCCTCCCACTGTGGGGGTCGAGGGTCATGGTCCTTGAGCAATTGAGTAGGGCCTGAAGACTAGAGCACTGATGTAAGTTGTTTCCTCCCCAGGCCCACGGTCAGACCTTCACTTTCCCAGACCTATTTCCCGAGACAGAACCCAGCCCAGCTGATAAGGAACAGAGCGACTTCCTGGAAGATGTGAATCAAAGGAAGAGCAGAGATGTCCGACGAGGTGGTGTCTCAGATTGGTTTGGCCTGTGACAGCCACAGAGACACATGGACACAGGCCCCAGCAGGTAGAGCAGTTCTGACAATCCAAATAAAATCCCTACCCTGGCAAAAAGAACTGCATGTCTTACACCCTTCTGTTTTGGAGGTCCCTGAGTCTCAGCCACATGTGCCCAAAGTGTGCAGCCTGGCCCTGCAGGACTGAGGAGCAGCTAGCTGGCCACTATCATGTGGTCCCAGTGGGCATGGCACCTGGGCTTCTGTGGGACCCAAGGGCTCACGACTTGAAGATGACACTAGCACACACGCTGGGGAGGTAGGCAGAGGTGAGGGCTGCCTCATGCAGCTTGGAGCTGTTTTCTACATGAGTGTCCACACTTGGAGCTTTGGCTCAGGGTGTTGGGAGAGGAGACAGGGTAAGTGTGAACATAGAGGCACAGGGAAGAACCCCAGGCCAGCATCCCTGGAGGACCAAGGAAAATGCCCCATTCAGGGTAACAGTTTCTGGTTTGACACAGTTGCCAGGAAGTACCTGAGGAGGTGTCAGGCAGGGAGAGGTGCAGAGGGAGGAGAGGTACCCTCTGCAGAGAGATTTGTGGCAGTTGGGCCAGACGAGAAGACTGGTCTGCCAGTTCCCTGACTGGAGTGGGGGCAGGCAGCCATCACTCCCAAGCTGCAGTCTTGAGTTTCACAGGTCTGTGGGCATGCACAGGTGGGAAAAGGAGAGGGTGGGTGTGAGAATCCATGTGGGGATGCCCTATGGCCCCTGGTGCCCCTCACTTTGTGTCAGTCATATCAGCAGGGCAGAGTGCAGAGCAGTCTCCTGGGGTTGTCTACAGCCTGCACTAAAGCCGTGCTGCTTGTGGGCACCCTTCCCCAGCCCTACCACCACTCCTGTACCAGCTCTGAGCCTGCACCTGCCCTCTAGGGGCCCTCGTCCCTTTGGTGGGCTTGTTCACTGCGGGCTGGCTTGTTGCCTCATTTCTTCTGGGCAGCGCTGGAGACCCTGAGCTGGACCTGCATGTGAGTGTTGATTCATCACATCTTCCCACAGAGCTGCGAGCCCTTCCCAAAGCCTGGGCTCACAGCCTAGGAGCTTTGTATCCAGAAAGGGGCTGGGGCCCAAGTCTCTATACTAAAGTCATGGCATCCTCAGCATAGGTCCCAGAAGTCCCTTGGCTCAGGAAGCTCAGAGAGAACCCCTCCCCATGTGTGCACTTCAGAGATTAGACCAGAGACCGGGTACGGTTTGCGTAGAGTGCTCTGCACATCCAGTTAACCCTCGCAGTCCCTGCCTTGGCCATGGTGGCGTAGGACCTTTAGGGAGGGAGGACAGCCCCCTGCACACACAACCCTACTGCCCGCAACCGTGCCCTCTCAAAACACGACACCACACACTCAGATGGTCTCGGCACCTGGCCTCTGTCTCAAAGGAGAAGCCACCCAGCTATCCCCAGTCAGGATGGGGAAACAACACAGTAGCACAAAGGGGGCCCCACCAAGCCTGGCCAAAACAAACAAACCCACAACCACAGCAACCAAACACCAGAGATCGCTCCTGCCCAGAGGGCACCTTAGCCATCTCTCCAGCACACAAAGACAAGAGCCCCAAAAGCAAACAGACAGCGCAGCTGGGAGGCGCCAGAGCCGAAAAAAAGGCGGGGTAGAGCCAGGCACAGTGGCACAACAAGGGTGCTACTGTGTTGTTTCCCCATCCTGACTGGGGATAGCTGGGTAGCTTCTCCCCTGAGACAGAGGCCAGGTGCCGAGACCATCTGAGAGTGAGAGCCACACTCCACACACGGCACAGTTGCAGACAGCAGGGCTGTGTGTGCAGGGGGCTGTCCTCCCTCCCTAAAGGTCCTACGCCACCATGGCCAAGGCAGGGACTGCGAGGGTTAACTGGATGTGCAGAGCACTCTACGCAAACCGTACCCGGTCTCTGGTCTAATCTCTGAAGTGCACACATGGGGAGGGGTTCTCTCTGAGCTTCCTGAGCCAAGGGACTTCTGGGACCTATGCTGAGGATGCCATGACTCTAGTATAGAGACTTGGGCCCCAGCCCCTTTCTGGATACAAAACTCCTAGGCTGCAATCTCAGCACTTAGGAGGCTGAGGTAGGAGGGTTTCTCAGTTTGAGCCTGGCCTGGACTACACAGTTGAAGATCAGCCTGGACTGCACAGCAAAACCCTGTGTAAAAAAACTTGAGAGAGAAAAAAAAGATGATGCATTTGATGCCAAAATAGGTCTGCTTAAATTGTCAAGGAGCAGCAACAGCCCTCCAAATCTGTTGGGGCCATCATACCAAAGCAAGTCCCAGAGATGCTAATGGTTTACCACTTGTCCTTCATGAAGGGTGTTGTGTGTCTTCAGGAGGAGGCTGAGCCTGGAAGGGCTGGAGACATACATGCATCTGGGCTGTGGGTTGGCACGTAGAGAAAGGAGGCAGACAGATGGCAGAGACAGTGAGCTGGGCTGGGCACCATGACTGGGGGTCTGGACAGCAAGATGTGGCGGAGTAGAGATGACAGCAGATACCCGAGAGCGGCGTGGGGCAGGAGGGCAGTGGCGGCAGGCAGGGGCAGACCCGGATGCAGAGGTGTGTGGGTTGGGGCTAATCTGAGATGTCCGTACAGGCTGCCCAGAGGTAGAAGGATGAAGCTACCCGTGATGGGGCTGTACCAGCTGGGACCACGGGGAGCCCCCCCAGGGCACAAGTGAGAGTTTGGCTGTGTGTATCCATGTGCCAGTGTGTATGAGCACGTGTCTGAAGTATCTGTGTCTGTGTGTCTTCATGTGTCCGTGTCCGTGTGTGTGTGTGTTTCTATGATTGAGTGTGCCTGAGTGTGTCTGGTATTTTAGTGTGTGTATTGAGTGGGCTTGGGTGTGAGTGTCTAAGTGCCTGAGTGGGTCTGGATGTGTCTGGTGGAGTATGTGTGTCTGAATGTGAGTGTATCTGTGTCTGAACACATGTGTTTGGATGTGTTTGAGTGGGTCTTCGTGTATGAACGGATGTGTCTGGGTGAGTGGGTACTGGTGTGTTTCTATGAATTTAGATATATCTGGGTGTGTGGATGTGTGTGGATGTGTCTGGGCTGGGTGTCTCGGGGGGGGGGTGTCTAAGTGTGCCTTGGATGTGTCTGAGTATATCTAGGTGTGTGGGCATGTCTGTCTGGGTGTGTCAGTGTGAATGGGTCTGGGTATCTGTGTCTGAATATGTCTGAGTGTGTCTGAGTATGTGCATCTAAGAGGGTGTGTCTAGGTATGTGTGTGAGTGGATGTGTTTGTGTGTGTGTCAGAGTCTGGGTATTTGTAAGTGTGTCTGGATAAATATGAATGTGAGTGTGTGGTTGTGTCTGTGTCTGAATATGTGTGTGTGTCTACACAGGTCTCAGATGTGTGTTTGGATGTGCCTGGGTGCGTCTGGATGGGTCTGAATGTCTCTGTGTGTCTGGGTATCTGAGTGGGCTGGAGTGTGTCTTAGTGTGAGTGTGTTTGGATATGTCTAGGTTCTCTGTATGTATTTGTGTTTGGGTCTGTGTGTCTATGGGGGTGTGTCCACACATGTGCGTGTGAGTGGGTCTATGTAGGTGTGTCTGACTGTTTTGAGTGTGAGTATGCTTGGCTGTCTGAGTGCGTGTGTCTAGTGTATGTTAGAATGAGTAAATCTGGGTGTGCCTTAGCGTGTAGTTGTGTCTTAATGTATTTGTGTGAGTCTGAGTGTGTGTTTGGGTGTGTGTATGTCTGAGTAGGTGTCTGAGTATGAGTGTGTGGGTCTGAGTGGCTGTGTATTGGAGTGAGTGGGCCTGGATATATCTTGGTGAGTTTGGCTATATCTTGGTATGACTGAGTGTGTCTAGGTATGTGGGTGTGTCTGAGTGTGTCTGGGTGTGTCTGAGTGTAAGTGTATGTTTAAGTGTGTCTGAGTGGGTCAGATATGTGAGTTTAAAGCTAAGTGGAGAGTTGACCTAGAGATTTTAGGAGCAGCCCAAAAGCAGTTGGAGTGTCCTGGAGGTCCTGTCATACAGCGCGTGGCCACATGGCCTGTGATTCCCCAACACGCACCTCCAGCCTGCTCTCCTGGGTCTGGAGCCCCATTCTGCAGCACGGCCCCACTGTGGTCTGAGCAGGGCCTGGCTCTTCCCTTGCTGGTTGGCCTCAAGATGGAAACAAGGAGCTGGGCCCCTGCCCCCTCCCTGAGAGCCACGGGGTTGGGTGGGGGTGGAGGGTGAAGGCCCGGGCAGACTGCACCCTTCAGTGTTGATTTAGGGGACTGGGAAGGTCAGGAAGTGGGGCAGGAGGAATGGAGTCGACTGTATTTTCCTTAGAGAAATAATTCATGGGGCCTGGCACCCTGAGGACCCTCACTCAGGCGGGGGAGGAGGAATCCATCGTTCATGGCTGCCACACCACGGGCTGTATCAGCCCCCACCAGGGCACCAGGCAGCATGGCTGGCCAAGGTCACCCTTCATCACGGCCTGAAGCTCATGCCCCCCTCCTCTTCCAGCCTCACCCCAGCCCCCAGCATCTCCCTGGTGCCTAGGGGGTCTCCCTGCCTTTCCAGCCAGGGGAGGAGGCTGCTGGGCAGCAGACTGAGACTTGCCCCATGCCCAAGTGGATCCCTCGACAGAGCCAGCAGAAACCTACTTGTAGGGTTGGGGCATCCTGCAACTTAGGGCCAGGTCCCCTGCAGTGAGACAGACCAGGTGGGGTGTTGTGTGTGTGGCCCCAGACTGGGGGATTTGCACAGCTAGGCCCCCTAGTTCACTTTGCACAAGCCTACTAACCCCAAAAAGGGGCCAGCTGAGGGCAGGGCCTCGCTCCCAATGAGGCAGCCACAGTGGAAGATGTTGTGGGGTATGAGCTGGGTACATTCTTGAGGAAGTGGGGAGGGGGCGCTGCTCACCATGCTGCTTCAGGAACAGTGTTCTCAGACCTCTGAGGGAGGGAGTCACACACAACCCACTTCTGGGTCACCAGGTTAGCAGACACATAATTCCTGATTCCAGTCAGGCTGGCCCAGCATCTGTCCGAGCTGTATGGGGAACGGCTTGCCCTGGTAACCTGAGGGGTCTCCGAGCTTGGGCAGCTCCCTGGGCAAAGGCAGTGGGGAGATCCTGCTTCTTCAGCCCCTCTGGTTCCAGTGTGGGTGGATAAAGGGGCTGGGGGCAGGGCTTGCTGGCTGGGGGCTGCTCCAGATTCTGGCAGGAGGCCCTTGCAGGGAAGCTGCTCCTTGTCTGAGGCTTCAGAGATAAAGCCACAACCTTTACAGCCCCATCTCTGTCCCCCATCCAAGGCACCCCAAAGGTCTGCTTCTCTGTGACTCAGTTTCCCCTCCTTAGTCTAGCTGGAATATGGTGGTCCAGGCTTTGGTCCTGGCAGCCTGACTTTATGGCAGTAACTCAAATCCCTAACACAGATCCTCTCCCAGGTGTGGAAACAAGGAGGATCGTGTGTGTGTGTGTGTGTGTGTGTATGTGAGGGGGGTCCAAGGCATCAACCTTACCCTGCACACCTGGCAGGACCCTGTCAAACTCCAGAAGCCCACCTGTCGCTGCAGAGAGAGCTGGCTGAGACATCCCCCAGGCTGATGAGGACCATGTCCACCTTTGCCTGGGCATCCACAGATGTGGCAGAAATTGGAGAGTGACCCAAGACCAGGCCCAGATGGGCTGGGGGCCCCGCCTCCAGCAGCTCCCCAGCACCTCCACCCCTTGCAGGCATCTGCTGAGAGCAGGGAGAGAGGGTCATGGGGGCAAAGCAAACCAGCAAGCTGAAGCCCCCTTGGACATGTGGTTGATTTGTTGCTGCGGGGGCCTCTGTTCATTCTGCAAGAGGGAACGTGGGGTCAGGCAGCTCTATGCTGCACAGGAAGAGCCGGGCCATGGGGCTGGGGGCCTCAAGGCTGTGTCGGCTTGGCTCAGCCCCCATTCCTGTGTTCATGAGTTATGGCTACAGCAGGCCTGCCTCGGTGGCCCTCAGGGACATATCCCAGATCGCCAGCAGCTCCAGGTAAGAGTCAAGCTGCCAGATAGAGCGGAAACCACTCTAGCCAGTAGCCTCCTGTTGCCCTCTGGTCTCCTCCTGGAGGACCTAGTGCTTTTCCTTGTCGGTTTGCCTCTACCACATTGTGGTCCCACCTCCAGTGGCTGGAGGTAGCCAGACCAGGGCTGCATAGGGAGAGGCTCTTCTGTACTGTAACCCAGCCTGGCCCACCTGGAACCCAAGTCACATCAAGATCATCTGCCTGGGATGGGGATTCCTGGACACTTCCTGGACAATCCCTTCCAAGCCCAGAGACACCGCATTTCCTCTTGTCCTTCTCCAGTTCTTCGTGCAGAGGGGAAGCCAAAGAAATCAGACCCTTGAAAGGGAGCTCAGGAGTGACCGTCACCATGCATGTCTCCCCCCACACACTTTCCTGCAGTTCTAAACTGTATCAGCTGAGTAAGGGAGAGAATGCCTGAATCCTTGGAACCACCAAAGTCAGGAAGTTGGGTCAGCCATGGGAAAGCGGCTGTCATCCAGCTGTGTCTGGGCCTCGGCTGGGAATGTCTGGGCTGGTCAAGTGGATCAAGTGCTCTCCTGGGCATCGCTGTCTACCCAAGGTAGTTTCTGCCTGCACAGGATACCTGGGGATATGATGGTCTCCTTTTTTACTTAACCACAGAAGCAGAAGAATTCTGGCCTTGGGACAGTCATATCTGTTTATCAACAGCTTTATTGAGATGTAGATTATATACTATACAATCTACCCACTTAGAGGATACGATTCTACAGCCTTGGTGTATTGCTAGAGTTGTACCTGCCTCTTTGAGTGATCTGAGAACATTTTATTGCACCCAAAACAACTCTGTACCCTTTATCTGTGGCTCCCTCTCCCACCGCCACCCACCCCACCCTATCTCAGTCTCTGAATGTGACAGTTCTGGGGACCTCATCTGGTAGAGTCCCATAGGATTTGTTTTTCCTTGCCTGGCTTATTTCACTGATCACAGTGTCCTCAAGCTTCATCCACATGATAGTGTGTTCAGGGGCTCCTTCCCTTTTTATGGCCTGGTAATATTCCCCTGTAGGTATGGACTCGTTCTATCCATCCATTCATTCATCAGCAGATTCATGGGTTATTTCTGCCCTTTAACCCGGTGACTGGTGCTGCTGGGCACTTTTGTGTGGATGTGTTTTCCTTCTTCATGGAGGATGAGTGAATATGGCCAGCCCAGGCCTGCTGATGCCCTGTATCCAGAGCCCCTTCTCTGTCACCCTTTGCTGACTGTGTGCCTCCATCCACTTCCCTAGATGCTGCTTACAGTGCCCCAACTCCTACTACAGTGCTGCTCCCAGGGATAGCCCACTTCCCACACACAACCGCAGGCCTGGGCTTGTTCCTTCCAAGACACACATGGGCTCTGGACCCCTCTGTGCAACCAAAGAACAAAGAATTATAGCCTTTCAGTGTATTGTCCCTTGCCAGTGTATCAGGCCCTCCAGAGGACATGCTGCCCTTGGGCACAGACTGGGAGCCAGCTGGGTTACAACCCTCCAGGCTTCCTCTTGATTTCAGCCTCACCATGGCTTCCTGGGAGAAAAAGGAAAAGGTGTCCTCAGGAGCCTTGCTCCAGATTCCCCTAACTCGGCCTGGTAGAAGCTGCCCCTGACAAGGCCTTGGCTCACAGGACGCCATGTGGGGGCAGGCAGGGCACCAGCTTTGGAGACAGCCAACAAAAGAGCTGGCTCCCCATACTCAGGCCAGTATCCTGCTTAGCATCTGCAGTTACCCCCCTTCCCCATCTGAGATCATCCCCATCACCAATCCCCCCAAATCACTTCATTATTTCTTTGTTTTTTTCCTAGTCAAAATAATCAGGTTTTCCTGGCGTTGCCACATCTGGCTTTGATTGGTCCTGGCCTCTGTGGATGCTGGAGCCCTGACGGGATGACCTATAGGGAGGCCAGCCTGCCCTACCACACACACACACACACACACACACACACACACACACACACACACCTGTGGTCCCCACCAGGGCTGGCTTGGTTTGAAAGGTGGGCCTACCTCTGGTTTCTCAGAGATGGGATCTTAGGGCGCTGGGCCAGGGCTGGACTGTGCCTCATCAGTTGTACCTATGCAGAAGCACTGGCCTTTCGAGGTGCCCCTGCCCCCAGGGCCTCCATGCCACCCTCCCTCACTGAGAGACATAACAGAGAAGATTTAAGAAGTTGCCTCAGACCTTCTACCCACAATTGTTGGAGTCAGTCAAGGGTCTCTGTCTGCCTACCCAGAATAGAGGACATACCTGCCATCTGCACCAACACTTCTGCAAGAACCTGAGTCTGCAGGGCAGAATCCACATCACCTCTTCTCATCCCTAGGAAACTCAGAGCTGGCTCCTCCAGGGCTCTTTCCTCCAAGACTTTTACACCGTGTAGGGCCAGATGAGTTGGGGATATTCATTCAGCCTGGACATATCCACTCAACCTGCCAAGGCAAGGCTTTGGTGGGTCCTTCTTTCTCTGACCAGAGTCCAGGCAATAGGTAGCCTCCCTCTTCAAGTAGGGGGGCAACACAGCCCTTCTCTCCAGGTGCCCCTGCCAGCCTCGGCTCCATGGTTGCATCTCTTCCTCACCCTGGTGCATGGGGAAAGTGCTAGGTACTGCGTTCCCAGGTCCCTTATTAGCAGAGGGTCAGTACTCAGCCTTTGTGGATGCTAAGACTGGCTTAAAGGGAAGGGGAGTCTGAGTCTGACATTACCAGGAAATGATTCCCATGAAGAGTAACAGAGGTGCTAAGGGACCCCAGAGCCGTGCACTGCGATGAGTGATTGATTGGCTGCTGTGCTCCTCCTACTGCACGCCCCACCTCACCTGCATGCATGCAAGAGCAGCTCTTGGGGCATGTGTGATCTGCTGACCCATTCCTCTTCTGGCCCCTAAACTGACAGCCTGGTTCCAATAGGCCTGCTCTTGCCAGTCCAACTGACCAGTCAGACATTGCAGTCAGTGTCTGGCCAATCCCACAAACACCAGTGGCATCATGGGGCACCAGGCATGTTTCAGGCTTGCAGGAGTTTGCCAAGGATGGAACCAGCCAGGTGGGGGAAGCTTAAGAAGATTTGGGATGGAGCACAAAAACCACAGAAGGACTTAGCCTCCATGTCCCCAGATGCAGAGCCTCCCTCCAAGTGTGCTTTGGAATGAGGATGAACATTAAGGGGAACAACCCCCCAAACTCACTCCCCCTCACCTTTGCCACAAAAGCCCAGAGCCTGGGCCACCCATACAGGTCCTTACAGCTGCAATCTCCCCCTCCCCACTGGGCTGGGGTTCCCGGCAGCCTTTGCGCCCAGGGCAGGGGTGACGCGTCCTACTAAACAGAACAAGATGCTCCCCCTTCCACCTTCACTTTACGAAGTGTTTGGAATTCCGACGGCCCAAACAGCTGGATGTGCCTTGCCCTGGTTCTCCCTGGGACTCTGCTGGCGGCCAGGGCCTTAAATAATTCTTATAAAAACCGTGTCAGCGTCAAACTGTGTGATATCTGATTTGTAGCACTCATAAAACTCCTTGCTTGCTGCCAGAGAGGGGGAAGGATGAGGCCAACTCACAGAAGTCTCACTCCCCCACTTGTGTGCTTGTGTGCGTATGTGCACATGAATGACTGAGAGATACCTGGGCGGAAAGGTCACCCCAAAGAACTGGGCCACTGCAGCTCCTGCCTTGCTCCATGGCTCCACTGCACCCACAGTAGGGACGACTGACCCAAGTCGTTCCGCAGGAGTCTCTTCTACTCACAAACCCCACGCCTGTGGTGTCTTAACTGCTTCATGAATGACAGCCATGGCCAGAGGGAGCCTAGATGTCCTCTATAGTTAGAGGAGCAGCAGAGTCCTGGCTCACTGACCAACCTCGAGTTCAGATGATAAGAGACTGGGCTGACCAGGATGCTTGGGAGGAGCGTACCCCAGCTCCAAAGATCCAAGGAAGTACCCAGGCAGAGTGGTGGGCTGGCTGTAAAGGGACTGCCACTCTGTGCCATGGCGTCTGGAGCCCTCAGAGCTGAGGCCATGATTTGTGATTCTCTGGACATCTCTAGCAGGTGCCAAGTGACAGAAGTAAGTGTGTGTGTGTGTGTGTGTGTGTGTGTGCGTGTGCGCGCTCATGCAGGAGTTGTTCACAGGACCCAACATCAAGCCTAGTAGTGCCCAGGCTGTCCCACATGGAGCCACCAGGAATGTCCTCATGACCCTTGAGAGAGAGCAAGAGCTTACCTCAGGACTGCTGGTCAGTGACTCTGGATAATAAACCCCTGCTTAGGCTGTGGGCACCAGGAGGAGGCTGCTTGGCACGGATGGCCATTAAAGCCCAGATCAAAGGGCCCTAGAAACACATGCTCATTAGCCCGGCCAGAGCAGCCCAGGCCAGGGCACAGAAAGGGGTCTGCTGTCCATGTACCCCACTGGGGCGAAAACGCCCGACTCTACTGGTCACACACACAGGGCCGCAAAATATCCCTGGGGCCTGAGCATGGCAGCGGGCAGCCCAAGGGTCCCACCATCCTGGCTTTGATTGGTCATCCTGCAGTGTTTGAGAGGATGGCCAGGGCTGGGGTTATAGCTCAGCGGCATAAGCGCCTGCCTGGCCAGCGCAAGGTCTTGAGTTTGATTCCTGGTACCCGCCCCCCCCCAAAAAAGAGAGAGGATGGACAGCAGGACCTTGGGTTTGAGGTACCTGCCTAAGAATCTGGGGAGACACGGAGGCTGCCTGTGGGCCAGGAGATGGCACTTCCTCACAGGCTTTACTGGCCAGCAGAGACCAGCCAACCCCAACCTAGACAGCGGAACTCTGACTGCCTTGGGCACATATTTGAGCTGTGGAGCCCCAGGAGCAGGTTTGGTGGAAGCTTCCAGGGGGGAGGCATGGCTGTGGGTACAGCTTGGCCAAGAGGGCACAAGTCTTGGTTTCCACCCTGAGATGCTGGACCTTCAACCATGAGGCCCTTGGCTATAGCCCTTTTTGTCTAAAATGTGGTGGTAATGCTGACTGTGGGGCTTGTAAGGCTGATGGGAGGAGCCCGTGGACCTCCCTATGGGTGTTAACAGGTGGATTTACTCCCAGGACCCCTGACCCCTGATGCCAAGCACCTCTTCTTCTCCCCTGTGGGCCATGGCATTAGGTGAGGCCTGGTGCTTCCCTGCCTAGGCAGGTCCCTCTGCCCTCACTGTTTATCCCTCCCATGGCCACACTGTGACAGAGCATGGTCAGGCATGGCTACTCAAAGCCCAGTCCTAGAGGAATGGGCTGTCCTAAGAGGTGGCATTACTGTTGCTGGTTAGAGACAGGAGCTTCCCTTGGTGCCAGCCCAGACCACAGCTATGAGGTGGCATGGCCAACCTGCCCAAATACCAAGGTGGTGAAAAGATATGCCAGTCTGGATGATTTTCAGATCCTGGGATAGCCATGTCTTTGGGGAAGCTCTGTGGCAAGCCCATACTGACTCAGGGCCTGGGGAGGTACCCCTCCCCACTCCAGAAGTGTCCCAGGTGCTAAAGCATTTGACAGCACTATGCTCCCTGCCACATGGGCTGCTGCAGCTGGTCTCTTGTGAGGGGGCGCAGTACAGGCACAACTCTGCTCCCAGAGCTGACATTGGCTCCTCTAGTCATCTGATCATGGGGCCTTTGCATTGCTGTTGATTTCTCTTCACTGAAGGAACCTTGCTGCCACTTGACCCCTTCCTACTGAGTATGCCCATCCTCAACCTCCAGATGTCCCTGGTAACTCAGGGATCATGACTCTAGGATCATGGCTTTTCCTCCACTGACAGCTTGACGCATAGCCCCAAGTGAGTGGTTTGTGTGCAATGAGGAACAGGACAGCCACCAGGTGCTCAGCCCAGGGCTAAACCCTGGGGAAGGGGACATTGTGACTCTGGGGAAGGCCTGGGCTGGTACTAGGCTGCAGATGTGGCTGGATGTGCTGAGGGAAAACCTGCTTCACTCCCTAGGAGCTGGGCAATTTGCCCTAGAGTTGCAGGACCAGAACCAAGTGACCCACTGAAGCCTGCCCCAGGTCCTAGGACGACCTGGTACGTGACCACACTGAGCTTGGCCCTGTGCCCCCAGGATGAAGCAGCCACAGCTCTGCAAGGTGCCTCCTAAAAATACACCCCAGGCTCTGGCTCTGAAGGAGGCCACTGGGGTCAGGACCAGCTGTCCCCATCTCGGCTGTCCTCGCCTCCCAGAACATACCCTCCCGCCTGGCCCCGGGCCGCACCCCAGCTAAATCCGCCTTGGCCCCTCGGCTGGTACATAATGGGAAAACTATGTGTTCTGAGCCTCCTTTGGGGCTTTGGGAGGACATGCCCACTTGTGCTGGGGTAAGGGGAGCCGACAGCTGTCCAAGGAGTGACGAGGGACACCAGGAATGTCCTTTATCTGAAAATATCGAGTGGCCTGCCGGTGCTGGGAAGCCGGTGCCGGGAAGCCCGAGCCCCGGACTCCACTGCTGACAGGGAAGTGGCTTTAGAGATGGGCTGCAGTTGCCCACATTTATCAAGATGACCCTGCAGGATGGCGGCTTCTGGTTATCTCAACCTTAGGTTTTTCCCGGGGCTGTTGTCTGAGCCCCTAGACCCCAAAGCCAGGAAAGCTTCAGATTTCCCAGGAGGCCCCTGGAAAGGGGTCCAGAGGGAACCACGTCTGTCATTCAGACCACGTCTGCCGCCCCCAGCTTCCCAGGTCTGAGGTGTCTCACTTGTGACACAGGGGAGGGCACTGGGTGGCTGCCGGGCCCGCCCCCTTCACTGACACTTGCATTTACCTCATAGACTCTTCTACTCACTCTGGGGTCCACATGCAGGCACTGATGGACCAAGTTACATGGGCAGTGGAGGGATCAAGGCCTGGGAGGACCACAGGGTGTAAATCAGTGTGGGTGGGGGCACAGGCAGGAAAAGCCCCCATGAAGTTGTAGGAGCAAAATGGAAATTCAAGGAGTATCCCACACTCAGAGGCCTGGGCCTGAGAGCTTAGGGAGCAAGGCCCCAAGGAGGGACAAGGCAGCTAAGTGGGGTCACTAGGACCAGCAGCAGGTACCAGTTCACTGGCCTTGGCCTGGCACACCAGGCCACATGTTTGCCCATAGGGCTCACAAAACGTTCTTGGTGGGCCAGGGCTGTCAAGAGAGTCCTAAGAGGATGCTGGCAGCTTAGCAGTTGGCATAGTGCCCCCAGTGCACTTAGCCACCTCTGAGGTGTGACCTGTGTCATCGCCACAGCAACTCCTGGAGGGGCAGGTAAACAAAAGGCAACAAAGTGTCCCTTGCCTCCTGATCATCCCCTTGAGGGGGTGGGACAGCAAGGAGAGACATGGCCAAGTTTGTGACCAGCCCTGCCCTTCTGCTCAAGCCAGTATGCTGTGAGGGAGCACAGGGGGGGTGGCTTGGGGTTCGGGTGAGTGTGACTAGGTCCCCAGACCAAGATCAGGGTGCTCTAGAACCTTGGAGCCTGTGGAAAACTGTGTGAGCTCTTCCTGACTTGAGTTCTGGGGTTCCAGGGCCATGAGTGCGTGGGACAACTGGCCCTCAATGCCCTTCCACTAAACAGGGGAGCCCATCTCTGTGCACATGGGGTTCTTGACCATTCTGGAGTGCTGGGCAGGATCAGTGGGTGGGTCTCCAAGGAGTCAGCCTGGTGCCACCAGATGCCTGATGGGGGCAGTAGAGGAGCACCTGTCCCTGTGCTTCTGGCTATCTTTGATCAGGGGCCTTCTGCTCCCAAACCAGGCCAGTTATCTCTCTGAGGCCCTTTAGCACCACCCTGGCCCTTGGAATGTGGGAATTCAGGCCCAGAATTATAGTTTTGGTATGCACACCTAGGCCTTCAGGGCACCCCATCCTTGCCGGACAGAGAGGCCTCAAGGACCATGGCTTTAGTGAGGGGCTGCTGGGGACAACCTAGAGAAGTTTTGTCTCCTTCATGGGTGGTGAAATGAAGGATGGAGTTGAGTGAAGTCCTCTTTCACCCTTTCTGGCAGTTGGTGCCAAGGAAAGGGCAGGCAGTTCATAGTTCCCGGCACCCACACCCAGGCCTCAGAGGATGATGCCTGTGCAGCCAGGGCCAAACTGGGGGAGGGGATGGTGCAGGCATAATGTCCCCAAGTTTCAACCACGGGTGGCGCTGCTAACCAGGAGGCAGTCAGCGGTGAACGGAAGGGTCGCCTGCGGTGATGGCCAGGCTGGCCTCCCTGGCTTAGCTGTTTGAAATATGAGCCCCCCTTGAACCTAAGTTGGGGTCTGAGGGAGCAGGTTAGGAGAGCATGGCGTCACTGGGAAACCTGAGTCTCTGCCCCAGTGGCAGCAGGAGCCATGTCCAGCCCAAAGGACGGCCCAGTCGCACTGAAGGGCAGACAAGCATTCCCGGTCTGGCAGGATGGTCCTCCACTGACCCTCCAGGGCTGCAGGCACAGCCCCTCCCCCGCACCCAGGCTTGCCTCCCAGCATCTGCTTTCTGCGTTAGAAGGATCCGGTTCTCCCCTCCTCCAGGGGCTGTGTCTTATCTCTGGGAAAGAGATTACAGAGTTTCTGACATTAAATTTTCATGCTGAAGTTTTCAGCATGTAGTTTGAAAAGTATTTTTTCCAAATAACACCTGGAGAGGAGGGATACAGGAAGGCAGCTTACCACAAAAGCCCTCCAGGACGCCCTCCCCACATGGCTGCGAGGGTCTCCCAGCCTCCCCCAGTGTGAGTTACTGATTCCAGCCACAAGAGTCTCCTTCAGCTGCCACCCCATTTTCTCCCCTCCAGCCCAGCCTCTGGACCCCCAAAGCCTCGCAGCTGTTTTGGTGGGCACTGCGGTCTGGGGCTGGTTCTGGGCTGCACAGGTCTGATTCACAGGCTCCCTATTTGGTTCTTTGTTTTTAGGTGATTCCAGCAGGACAGCCTGGCTCATACTTATTGGGGCTGGGTGTGGCCAGCTGGCCTAGCCCCCGCAGGAGAGGTGAGCCCCTTAGCCTGGGGATGCCTCTGAGCTCGAGGTGGTCCTGACGTCTGGGTCCTGTGTCCGTCCAAGGGAAGCAATAATGGAGGGGGTCTGCTGTTTGTATCTTTGGGTAATGAAGGGGCCACTTGGAAAATCTCCTTTCGAGCTTGTCTGTTGGGTCGTTGTGACTTGGGGATTTCCAAACATTGAGGCCATGAGAGGTCACTCTGCTGACCCTGGCCTGCCTCATTATGTCACAGCCAGATTGTGGTGGCATCTGATAGGATCCAGAAGCCCGGGCTGGGAGCGGGTAGAGGCCAGAATGTGGGGGCAGGGCTTAGCTCAGCCTGGTTAGGTTATGAGAGTCCTAGGGCAAAACAGCTTCCATTGTTCCTCCTGTCCCTGAGCAGGATGCCCACAAGGGCACCAGTCCCTGTCCCAGGAAATCTAGGTCCAGCCCATAAGGGCCCTGCCAACTTCCAAAGGTGCTCTGCCCCTCACTCCACACTGCTGCAGGTGAGGAGTTCAGCTTCAGTGGCACTGCCTTGGCTCTGGTTCCCAAGGCCAATGCCCCCTCCCACCCAGCGCCTCTATACCTTCCAGCCCAGAAGCCCCAATGTGCTCCTCTTTGTAGCGCCTCCAGCCCCTGTATTGCCATCAATGTCACTTCAGGCTGCCAAGCCCTTGCTAAGCTCCTGTCTTCTTTGGTGTCCAGCCCTTCAGGGAGGCCCCCTTGCTCTGTCCCATGTCATACTCTCCTTGGAGATTATTTGCTTTAGACCCAAGCCCCCAGCACAGGACTTCCCCAGGCTTCCGACAGGCATGAGGTGCAGGCAGCCCGCAGGAGGAAGGCCCAGACTCAACTCTGCCCTGCCCCAAACTAGCAGAACCATGCAGCAGTCCAGCTTCTTCTGGCTCTACTTCCCTCCCCAAATCCCCTTTTCTCTCTTAGGGTCTCTAGCAAATCTCCATGCCCAGCCCAACTGTTCTTCACTTTGTGGGTCCATATCATTGCCTAGCATACCTTTTCCTGTGACTCCCAGTGGAGGAGGGGCCAAGCCAGGGAGGAGAGCCAAGGGCATGAGGTATGACTCACCTGCTACGTATCCCTTCTTGATTCTGGTAGCTCTTTGCCTCCTCAGGGCCTCCTTACCTGCCAGGGTTATTGGGGAAAGGAACTGCCTCGGGTAACCTTTGTCCTCCTGGGAGGAATGAGGCCAACAGGAGCTAGTTGCCTCCAAAATCAAGCCTTCCTCCATCTAGAACTGGGGTGCTCTCTGGGCCTAGGAAGGGGTTAGGCAGGGTGAGCTTCCCCTCCTGCTCCCAAGGGAGAGATGCGCCATCCAGGGGCTGGGAGGCAGAGGTGCGAAGGTAACCAAGTAACCAGGCAGGGCATCTGAGGATGTTTAACCTCCTCCCTGGGTGAGGGCCAGCAGCTTGGACAAGTCTCCAGGCCTGGCCCGTCCCCAGGTGCCCTGGAAATGGGAGATGGGCTGGCAGTGTCCAAGGCCGAGCTGCGCACAGGGTGCCATGCTCCTTCCTGTCCCTCTGAGCCTGGCTTGGTCCTGGGCTTAGCAGGTCAACACTTTCTGCAAACCCACACACCGCCACTAAAGCCCAATCAGCGGAGTGCTCAGCACAGCTATGTCTGTTCCCTTCACCCTCACCCTCCCTGGCAGATCTCTTGCCTCTCCCTCCTGTCCTCCACACATAGACCACCCCCGCCCCCCCCACTCTGATGGGAGCAAGATGGCCAGAACACCGTCTGTTCCTGAAGCAGTTTCCGTGGCTTTCTCCTCTAGTCAGGGCAGGCTCCCGGACCAGCAGGTTGCCCTGGCTGCCTGCAGCCCCATGGTGGCTATGGCCCAGGGGGTGGGATCTGGAGGACTATCCACCAGGATCCTTTGGGATAGGAGTCTCTTGTTCAGATAAGATGTTGGCAGTCCTGGTGTGGTTGTTGGATTGGTTTTGGATTTCAAATCCACCTACACCATGACACCAAAGAATTTCCATGGGTTGTCTATAGGTCCACAGTCCAGTCCTCCTGGAGGTCGTCAGGGCACTGTAAGGACCCGACAGTCACACTGTGGAGAGATGCAGGGCTGCTTAGAATTGGGCACCAGGGAAGCCACTCATACTCATACCCAGGCCACATGCTGGCCCTACCTAGCTGCAGAGCAAGACTTCCTTCAGGCTCCAGGAGAGTCTGGTTATTCCTGAACATGTCTTCTGCTTCAGGCTTCTCCATGTCAAGATACCCTGATCTCCTGATCCTCTATGCCTACCTCCTGGAGGAAGTCCCCAAGCCACCATCACCTTGCCCTGGAGTCCTCTGGGTTTGATCTCTCCTTCTGACCCTCTGAGTGTTATATAAATAGAATGGGAAAGATCTGACAACAGAAAAAAGGAGGCTACTGGATAGACAGGGCCAAGGCTGGCCTAGCAGGTGGGAGCATGCGGGGCAGGTGGAGAGGTTTGGTGGGGACAAAGTGGACATTGAGAGAAAAAGAAGGAGATGGGGAGAAAGCAAAGACAGGGGCCACATTCTGAGAAGAAGAGGGAGGCTCAGAGGAAAAGAGTCAGCTCTGGGGTCACCATAGCCGGAGAACCTCAAGTGCTGGGCCAGGAAATCATCCAGATGGAGGGAAGGGACAGCTTTTAGGGAGGTGATCTTTATGGGAGAAGAAAAGACAGTGGATCAGCAGGACAGAGAAAAGAGAGCCCCAAAGTTTAGAGGCTAGAGAGGGAGACTCAGCCACCTTACAGCCAAACAAGAGTGTCTTTCCCAACCAGAGCCAAGCAGGAGGGTACCATTCGGTAAGGTTGTGTATTCCTATGCCAGGGATGGAGAGGACCCCCTGCTACCTGATGGTGAAGGCAGAGGGCAGGAAGGGGTTCCCTGTAGCACCAGACACAAACAGTTTCTGAAGAAAAAGACATGGTTCTGTGACTTGGGGGTGATAGGAGGGTGGTGGTATGCTTGTGTATGGGGCAGTGTGGATGGGAGCTCCTGAACTAGGGGTCCTGGGGCCATTTTACCCCCCTAGAAGCTCCACCTTGGAAGCTGGCAGTATTTCTGGACAACTTGGGGAGGGAGGAGGGGTTGTGGGAAGTGGACCAAGCAGCGCCCTCTAATGCCAGCCATAGCAGGGTTCTGGGGGGTCAGGAGTCCAGGGCCAGGAGATAGGGTGCAAGCCCTGGTTGCGAAGGGGCCTTATGCCATAGTGCTGACTAAGAAATGTGGAGAAGGTTGGGGAACCCAGGTGGATCTCTCACCATTGCCATGTTCTGGGACTGTCCACAGAACTCCGTGGCTCCCGGACCTGCAGGGTGAGGAAGTCAGACGCATCCGACCCATTTTCCACCCCACTGGCTGGACTCACATTTTTGTCTCTATGTCCATCCACCTGAGGAGTGGGGTACTGGCCACAGCATCCATCTCCACTTGGTGGGGGTGGATAGCGTCTGGAAAAAACCCCAGAAAAATCAAAGTTTTGAAGTTAATCTAGGCTGGAACAAGGATCGGATTCCTGGCTATGTATCCACTGAGACTTCAATTCCCTGGACTAATTATTTGGGGGCTGGGGCCTAGGATGAGGGGCATGGGGCTCTTTCCTGATGAGGTCTGCTTATCCCAAATGCCAATTAGCCTTCTGAGCAGAGCCATGGCAGTGGCTTTCTTGTCCCCCCAGCCAGGTGAGTTCATCGGCTCAGAGGGGCACTCTCAGATTAGCCGGAGGCAGGGTTGCTTGCTCCCTGTTCCCTGCAAGCCAGGAGGGAGGAAGCAGGCTGGATTTAGGAGGCTCTAGGGACCCTTCCTGATGGGTAGGGTGCCCCTTCCTAGACTACAGAAGGGCCTCCATTGCCACATCTGGCGGGGGTCTGGCAGGAAAGCAGCCATTTCCAGGTGGGGTTGCTAATACTTGCCCATAGAGCTGGACCTAGAACCACCTCCTGTATGGTTGTTTTAGGGCAGGCCTCACCCCCACTGGGTGCTCAGCCATAGCTGCCCCTTATGGAGTCCTCGGAGTGCCGAGTGGGCCCTCACCTGGTCCTCCAGTGCTGGGCTTGATCTGGTGGCTCTTCAGGGGCTCGCTGTCTTTAAGCCCCAGAGCTCCAGCCTGTATGCCTTGGAACTGACCTGTCCTGAACTCCATGGCTAAGATGCAATGGTGGCCGTGCTGGGCTCCAGCCCACGGTGGTCTCCGGGTTGGTGGTGAGGGCTCAGGGGAAAGGCTGCTTTTGAAAGACGTCCTCCCACCTGGCCTGTATGCTTCTTCAGCCATGGACATGGCTGCACGCCGGTCTCCATCACGGGCCCATCCTTGACCGTCTCACCAAGACCCAGGGACCCGCAGTGGCTGCTCCCCCACTGGCCGGCTGGGAAAAGGCTACGATGCAAAGCACAGAGCAGGGCGGCCAGGGATTGGTCACTGCCTAAATGTCCCCGGACGGATGCCCGTGTGCCCTTGGGCAGCTTTCCCCTCAGACAGGCTGTCCAGGCTGGGGAAACCCTAAGCCAAAGGGATTAAGAAGAAAGGCACAATCGACTGCTCCCTTGGCCGTGCTAATTTGTGCTTCATTTAATGCATATTCCCTCAGTGGGTCAAAACACGGTGCTGATGACGCCAGAGGTCTGGATGTGTCCCTTAGCCCTGGTCAGCCTCTCTCAGATGCCGGGCCCCGCCCGCCCCACCCCTGCTGCTTCTCCCCTCTCAGCCATCTTGCTCTTCCTGTGGTGGCACAGGAAGGGACAGGGAGCCTCCTCTGGGTTCCTGGGTATACTGAGGAGTGCAGGGACCCTCAGCTCAGGCATTGAAGCTGGTCTGAAGAGAACCTCAGCCTTGGGTCAGGATCTCAGGGTTCTGCTTGGCCATCTGCTCCCAACCCTGGGACCTAAGAGTTGCCCCAAACCTCTGCTCAGTGGGAGGTGGGAGCTATGCACTGGGACAGGTGTGAGAGCAGAGTGCAAACTTCACACATAAGACTATTGCTCTTCTGGACACTGAAGTTGCTAGGATGCCTTGAAGGGTCCTGGTGGTCCAGAGCCAGTGGTGACTAGAAGAGCCAAGAACTCAGATTCCATGGACTGCCTGTATGCAGGGCCAGAGACCCCTCAGCACTGTCCCAGCTCCATCCCAGGCTGAAGGCCTCCTGGGGGCTGACCAGGCAGGTGGAGAGAATGGAGTCAGAGTGCTTTCCAGGTGGGCTCTGCCTCCTCCCACCTGTCACAAACTGGCACTGATGGTGGCCTTGACTATAAACATTCCAGATTACCTTCAGGAAGAACCGAGAGACTCCAGGTGACAGGGAAGGACCAGGGTCAGACCTCCTACCCGTCCCAAGCCCCAAACTCCATTTGGCTTGCTCAGCACACACAGTCCCTCAGCTTGTTCTGTGGGGGCTGGGCCTGCTGTGACACCCCTCTGGGTGCAGTTCCCCTGTAGTGACCAAAGCCTCCCCGGTGCCAGCTTGGAGAGGGAGTGGGGCTCCCCAGGCCTGGAGGCTGCCATTATTTCTCTTCTCTCCCCAAACTCTCAGACTGGACCACTTAAGAATAATGAGGTCCAGGTGGTCCCACGTGAGCCTCGATCCTCACTGGCTGCAAGGCCAAGCCTCCTGCCTGTCCCACCTCCCGCTGGAGCAGCTAATGACAACCAGACTCTGGAAGGTGCAACTCCTTGCTGCTGTCAGGCTGTGCGGGACCCTTGGCCACAGGTGGCCACAGGGCAGGGGCCAGTCAGGCTGGCAGGTCTGCACTACTGCCCCACTCTGGGGGTCCACTTCTGTTGGACCCAGGCCTCTTCCCTGTCCCTCATGGGCCTGGGTTCAGCCAGCACCCTGCTGCCAAGGCTTTTTTGTGAGACCTTAAAGAGATCAGACATTTCTGCTCCTTGGTTGCCTACTTTGCCAGCACACCGAGCTGTCTCTGCCTGCTATGTAACCAAGAGGAAGAGAGTAAGTGTCTTATACTGCCAATGAGCATCGGCTGGGGAAGACAGAAGCACTGTGGAGGAAGCTGATGTGCTAATGCCACCAAAGTACTTAAACATGTCACAGTGGCTAAGCCTGTGATGCATGGATTTTACCACAGTAAAACTGAAGGTCGGTGGCACTACTAACTCCAGGAGTTCACAAAGAAAGCATATGCTGTCATAGAGTCAGGATAGTGGGTCTTGCTCACCTCCCTGGTATGTAGGACAGTGTCCCTTTGTCCAGCTCTGTGCAGGTCAGGGCCTGCAGGCAGCTTCGTTATCCCTCACTTCATTCCAGAAGACATGTCCCCTTTCCTCTTGCCCCTAACCCTGTAGTACCCTGGCCCTGCCCTCCAGCCTTCCAGTTCTTGGTCCCGTGGGTAAAGGAGGCCACCCAGCCTCAGCCCAGGCCAGCTGTGACCACCCACAGTAAGACAAGGAGACACACGCTACGCAAAAGCCACATGTCCCTGAGCACATGGGCCCCTGAGGGACTCTGAGGGGCTCTGCCAACAGCACTTCCCGGGGCACCAGTGCCTTCTTCAGGAAACCCCCTGCAAGTCACTAGACCTGGGCGGGGCAGGTAGACAATAAACAGAAGCAGGGACTTGTCTAGAGATGGAAAATTCGAAAAGGTTGGGAGAGGGGCCATGGAGAAAGGATGGTGACAAACATGTTTTGCTGGACCCAGTGGCCAGGCTAAAGTGAACCTTGGCCACCTTGCTTGGGGTCTCATTCCAGGAGATCTCATTCCAGCAGGAAAGAATTGTGACTTCTACTGGTATTTTGAAAAGAAGATGAGAGAGATAGCACCAAAGAGGAATAACAGGATGATGGGTCCGGGCCCCGGAAGGGAGGGCGGATTGGGGACTGATCTGGCCACAGGGGAGCTGGGCTCGAAGGGCAGCCTGCAGGCCTCAGCAGGGAGGCCAGGGCTCAAGGCTGGCAGGCACCAGGTGGCGGGAGGAACAAAGGGCCAAGCGCCTGAAGACTTGCCGATAATTGCACGGCATGCAGAAGGGTGGCCCTGGCCCTGCAGCCTGCGGGCCTTGAGTATTTCCACATCCAGCGATAAGGCACTGGTTACACAATTACAGGCTGATTGGGACCAGGATGGCCGACGCCAGTCGCCCTGGAGTCTGAGGGAGGCCGGGGTCCAGGGTCTTGCATTGCCGCTCCCTCACCTGATACCATCAGCAAACCTGTCCTGTCTATGCAGGACTGGTCACCATGTGGCCGCATCAGATCCTGTTGTTGTCTTCTCACTAAGCCTGGGCTTATCCTCTCCTATGCCTCCTGGACAGGACATGTAGAGGCGGGTGTAGGGGCTGGGAATCATACCACCTTCAGAGCCTCCCGTGCCCATCTCTCCAGTACTTCCCACATGTTAGGGCTGACCACTGACCCTGCCCACAAGCCCTCTTCTGCCTCAGCAGAAGAACCTGGCAACAAGTCCACGCTATGCCCTTCTAGGAAGTAGTGGTGGTCTGTGGGACATGCCGGGTTGTCTAGGTTCCTGAAGGCTTTTTGGGGTCAGTCTAGCCCTGTCCTAGTGACCTAATGAGCAATAGTCCAGGCCAAATGAGCTGGTACCCACGCTTGGAGCCAGGTAACTCCAGCATAGGCAGATGGACATTCTTGGCAGAGCCAGTAGCCAACAGGGCACAAGTGTCCCCAGCTGGGACTCCCATCTGCTTCTCTCCAGCGCTACTCAGAGAACTGAAATCCAGGCAGGGAGTGGAACAGGGCTACTGGCAGGAGGGGCCTCTGGGTAGCTTTCCCTTGCAGCTTTCCCACGATGCCCCCATAATTGGGGCTCTTCTCCCAGCACCCCACACTTCACAGCTGGCCGGGCACAGCCAGCTGCTCTTTGCCCGCCCCACTGGGTGTGGCCCTGCCTGGTGATGGAGCCTTTTCCCATGGCTTGGATGGGTTTGGGGGGTAGTGGGGAGGATGAGGAATTTGAGGAGGAAACAGCAGTGGCCTGAGAATTTGGAAAATGTGTGCAACAGCCTGGGCTCTTGGGAAGAAGCCGGCAGGAGGATTAGGGAAAGTGGAGGATGATGGTATGGTCCTGGGTGGGCCGTGACTGATGGGCCAACCAGGTCTCCAGCACGAGAAGGGAGCCCATCCATGTAGGCAGGCAGCTGCCCCCGTCAGTCACCCTGTCTTTCCTCCTTCCAGCCTCTAATCAAAGACCTTCAACCCCTGGCTTATGGTGGGAGCTAGATTCTAGCCCCACAGCCCACCAAACCTTGCAGGTGACTTGAGATGATTCCCCCTTGTCAGGCCTCCCTCACATCCGCATATACAAAGTGGGGTTCTGGAGTTAGGGTTGGGGTTCTCTGAAGTCCCATTGTTTTCACCTGCTCTATATTCCTTGCTGGCCCAACTTTGCTGGCTCCAGTCTCTCTGGTTTGAGCATGACTCTCTAAGAGGAGGGTTGGGAGCAAGGGTAGGGGGTGTTGGGGCCCTCCTCTGGGCTGAGGGCTGCAACTTGGTGGGTCTTGCCCCTGGGAACCCTCTGGAACAGCAGCTGTCCCTGCCCTCGAGCTGGCTGACAGGTCTGCCCTGGCCCCCAGGCTAAGCCTGCCACGGTTGATTACAGTGGATATTCACACCAAGGGACTGAGCCGAGAAGCCGAGCAGCTGCTCAGAGGGGCTGAGGGGTTCAGGCGCCTCCCTCATCCCATACACTGCCTCTTCCTCACCCTGTTGCCTGTGTGTGTGGCTTTGTCCTGCTTGGCTAGACTTGCCCTTCTGCTCTTCATGCTCCCACCCTTTTTCATCCCTCTGCAATGACCAAGCAAGGGCCCAGGGCTCTGCTGATGTTTTGTTCCAGTCATCTCCCTGAAGCAAAGGCTCCCTCATGCTCTGATCAAAGTGATGAGATTATACCTGCTCTGTTCATTCCCATTAGCTCCAGGGCAATGTCAAGGAGGCCAAAAAATAGAAAAACATGTTGTTCAGGCCTAGGGGACTTTTCCAAAGGGGACAAGAAAGCTCAGGGACTCCAAGTACTTCAGGGAGCAGGACACTGTCAGTGTCTCTGGGGAGAAGGGCCCAGCCTCAACTGGAACCAAATGGCGGGTCCAGAGCTGGTTCTTGGCCAGAAAAACCACAAAGATAGGTGGAGGTGGGCGGAGGGGCCAGGGGTTGGCCCCTGACCCTTGGCCCCGCGTTTGCTCAGCTAACTTTGCAGTGGAGACACTGTATGTACACTGTATGCGGAGGGAGGCCTGAACGATAAGGATTCCCGGGTCGTTGACTCCTGTGGCCCTCACCAGCTTCAGCCCCCTGCCCACTCCACTCCCAGCCCCCTACTCTCTCCAGGCCATCATCGACCTCTCTTCTGGAACATTCTAAGGCACCTGGGAAATGC